AAGCAAATACAAACAAATATGTAACAAAGGCATTACAAAGGATTTGTAATAGGCAAATCTGTGATAAAGAAGTATTTAATACAAGTTTTGAATTTTTAACATTTTTTTACTACTGTCTGAGACTCTACTGGTACATCATGAGAAACCACCGCTACAGACAATCAAGGACAATGTAACAGCTGAAAAGAAAGGTTGCAGCAGATAAAGATGCTCTAAATTACCTGAGCAACAGAACCCTTCCATGACAGACATAAAAGCCAGGACCTACAGCCTGAGAGAAGCACTGACACCTTGAACACAAAATCATACGTGTATGGTGGCTTAATATTGAAAAGTCTAAATGATCAGGAATTATATTATTGCACAACTCAGGAGGAACTCCTAGCAGAGATAAAATMTAGAATAGTAGTGGCATTATAGGAAAAAAAAAAAAAAAAAGACTTTAAAGGATCTTAAGAAAACATCTAGTGTGGCCCTTTGCTCCATAGCAGTGCTACAGTAGTTACAGAGAAAATTTTCAACAGTTTCTTTTCACCATGATAATGTGGCAGATAACTTGTGCTCAGGACAAACCATGCATCACAGGTAGCAACACTTTAGGAAGAGAGCTGTGAAAGGCAGCTTGTAAGCCATTTGGGGAGGCTGCAGTATGATGCTTCATTCATTCCCTTTTAACTACAAGAATACAAAAGTGACTTCTTACTGCATTCGGAACCAATAAATACTTCCTACTGTTCAATTAAAGGCAGCTTAAGAGAAAATCTGTAAGAGAGGAAAGAGAACATCACCTTGGAGACAAGGATGGGGCTAAGAACGGTTTAGGCTGCTGATGTGCAAGTACCCTGACATAAAAGGCACATGCTGAATAGCTAACATAACTTGTGGCCTGAAAATCATTTCTTTTCTCCTCACTGCTCATGGATCATATTAGTTACTACTTGGTAGATCATGGGTAGAGCAGAGAAAAGGGATGATGTAAGGAGAGATTTATGAAAGCCATTTAGCTTAGCATCTTGGTTCAGTATAAATGTAAGAAAGGTATTAAGCTTCCTTATAGATTAAAGAAGATGAAACAATAGGAGCTGTATGTCTTCACAAAGAAAAGCGGAGCTAAGTGATCAAAGAGATTTAATGAGCAGCTGAATTGCGTATGATACAGCAGAGGATCTGAAAGAGAAACAGAGGCTGAAATATTCAGTCTTCAAAAAATATCTGGAGATAATGTTAGAATCATTCAGGGAGGCTGGAAGTCAAAGATCAAAGTAGAGAAGTGAGGGGGATTTGGAAGTACAGCAGAGATGGCCACAGATAKGAGGAAGCTGGGCACATCTAGGGCGGTTTGGGAGGTAGGGGCCCAGGGTCATGAAGATCATGCTATGTCACTGGGTGGTGGGAAGAGCTACAAAGGTCTGATGACAAAACCTTACGCCATCTCGGTGGCATTATTCATTTGACATCTTTTTCTATATTTATACTCTATCCAGCATAGGAAACGCTTTGAAAGAACTAGATTGAAGATAACAGAATCACGGGGTACAAAATGTAGAGATAATAGATTTGGACAGATGTGACTGTCATGTTGTCAGCTGCTGCTGTTCTGTACTAAGGACTTCAGTACTTGCTGTTTATTGCTCAAGCCAAAGGCCCCAGAGACAAGTGCTTAGAGGCAAATATTACACTTCACTTTTTAAAGCAGATTCTGAGAAAATCTTGATCTCATGATCTGAATGTCCACAAGACAAATACAAATGGCCTGTAACTATTTATTTTAAATTTTAGATCTTCAAGACTATCTCTTTTGAGACCTGACCCATGCATTTGACAAGAAATGATGTAACTGAGGGCAAAAATCACCAGTGGAATATTTTGAGATATACGATTCTAAAAGGAAGGGGCGAAAGAGTTTCCTATTTGGGTTGCATTTCTGGGGACTCAACAGGGATTTTGTATGTGTTTTTTTAAATGGCTGGACTTTGTGTTTTTATTTTCCAACTGGAATAAAGATATTCTCTAATCTGAAAAAAAATCAGAATTAATTATGATACAAAAACTAGAAAAACCCTGTATTATGTTGTGTGATCTTTTTTTCAGAGTTTAACAATTTTTAAATCTTAAGAGTGAGTTATATGGGAATATTTGCAAAACTGCGTACTGGCAATAAAACTAAGATGGGTGAAAACATTGTAATTTTCTGTAAACTGGAATCCCAGGTCATTTAATTCCTGGTTCTACTAATTTACATTCTGTTGCTTTTATTTTGCCCTCATACATTTGCTTGAAGTGCTTTCTGCTGCAAAAGGAGAATTACACACACTTTCTCAGTTCCAGCTGACTGGTAATTGATGCACCTGCAAGTCTTTGCCACAGCCAAACTGACCAATATTTACTAGCATCTAGTTACCAGCAAATAACAGTTTCTAGCTCTCTGTTGATCAAGGGTGAAGAAAAGGAAAGAAAAAAAGCCCACAGAACCAAAGAAAATACCTTATACCACTACTTCTAACAACATGATGATAAAAAGCAAGACAGAAAGATTTCCTTTTTACTGTTAAGAGGGCAGTTACCTTACAGTCCTCTCTCTATTTCTTAATCAAAACAGAAAGGGGGAAGATAGTGATTTTTGCYCTAAAACAATGCAAAGCAAACACTCAGCTTCAAGCAGAGAGGACATAAATTTTTGAATTCCCGCCCACTATTTTAGTTTGTTACAATTACAAAAAAGATAGCCATACTCTGCCTGACAGTCAGAACATTTCTTTTGCATATCAGCTTCCATAGCCAGTTTAATTGACTGCTGTTTATATATGGTAACTATAGGATAAACAGTGATCAGGTCAAGAATTTTAGTGTGTTTTTGGTAGCCAAGATGAAAAGAAGTGTTTGAGTATCCAGTGAAGCCAGCAAGTAGAGAATTACATAATAACTTCCATGTGACAAGAGTTTTAATTAGATATCCTGGAAAAAAAATTAAAAAGCAGATAAGGGTATGTGCCAAATGAGCTAGCTCACTACAAAATGTAGGGTTCAGTGCTGCTAAACTTACATAAAAAAACAGAAATTCACATCTATAAATAAATGTTATTTTTAACTTGAAAGAATTCTAATTTCATATATTTAGGCTCTGATTTCTAAGAAGGTAAAATCTCTAAAAGATTTTCTTTTTTTGCGGGGGGGGGAGGAGGAGGCTTCTGGCTTCTATTGCTTTTTTCCTCAGAAATTGTTAAAAAACAAAAGTTTTGTAAAGATGATTAGACTTCAACGAAGATCGAAAGGGTTGCTTGTGCCAGTAGATCCCCTGCCGAGAAAATATGTTTTCCTGCCAGCTCCCTTTTCCAGCCTCTTGATATCTTATGTTCAACAGTTTGCCTGGCTGGCTGATATGGAGACTGCAGCTTCTTCCATCACTTGGAAATGTACAGCTCTGGGCAATTCAACTTTTTTTCTTGTCTTCTTCAGACTATTTCAAATTATTTGGTGTTGTTTGAGTCCGTACTGAAGGCTGATTTTCCTTTATTTCATTATTTTGTATTATGTTACCCTTTTCTGCCTCACGTGGCTTTTAGTTCTGTTGAGCCTGGGTTACATTTGTGAGTACTCTTTTTCACACATTAGAAATGTGCAGCCTTAATGAAAGCTGAGATCTCCTGTCAGGGAAGCAAGATATTTCAGAACAATAGCTATTAAAAAGCACAATGAAATCCCAACAGCTGGCAAAACTAGCAGTTGCAAGTAACTAAGCAAAATGTGGCCTGCAAAATTAGCTGTTAAAGAAGGGGTACGACCTGGAAAAAAMCACAGGTTTGACTTTCAGATACTATCATGTTCACAGTGCTGTCAATTAAAGCCTTTTTTTTGCATAGAGAGAAAATACAAATAAAAAAAGAAGTGGAATAGGGTGATGGAGGCATATAAAAACACYTCTTATCTTGAGGTTTTGGCAAGGTCTCAGATACTACAGTAGGTTCCGAAATAATGCTGTGGTAGCGCACTATGCCAATTGTTCCCATTCCTGTCCGTGAGCTGTGCCCTCTGTTTATATTGCAGCTGCAGCGATGCAAAACTTAGCAAGAAGTATCGGTGATTTGTGGAAATATCTGGCGGGCTGGCTTAGATCACAGAGAACAGAAGCACAAGCAACCAGAACTATTAACCCATACCTCCCTAACCCAAACTATTACTCAGCTGCTCGCCAAAACATGCAGCTTGGAGATTTTTTTTTTTTTTTTTTTGATGAACAAATTTGTTCTAAGAAAGGCTCTTTTTCAAGAGAAGTTTGCTTCGTTGAAAATTTAGCTGACAAAAAAATACTTTGATAGGACTTTCTCTAAAGCTGTCAGTAGATTTCAACTGCAGATCAMCGGAGTTTAGCTGATTGCGAATAATCCACCTGACACGACATCAATCAGCAATTGCTCAAGTCCCTGCTCTAGGTCTAACACTGAAAAATTGAGGTGATCCTCCAGTTATTGACCCAATCTTTGTTAGTTCTATGCATAAGCCTGTAGTTACTACAGCTAAAACTCCTTCTTCGCACGTGTTGAGTTTTCTGCCAGCGCTTTGTACGCAGGGCCAATTTCTAAGCAACGTAGAAGAAAAATGAAGGGTGCAGATGGAGACGACTGTGGTTACCCAGGGACAGCTGCGGCTGGTGAAGCTAATTACATGCCCTAATTAGGTGTCGTTAAGCAAATATACCTAGCATACACCTAATACAGCTAGTTCTAGTGCCTAGTGACTGCCGAGTGCCCCCTGAACGAGCCGCTGACACCGGCGCCTCTCCAGGAGGGCAGCGGCCGCCCGGGGGCYGCGGGCGGGCACGGGACACGGGACACGAGGCAGCAGGACAGGCGCTCCCAACGGCCGCCGCTAACGGCCGCCGCTAACGGTCGCGGCGCCCCGCCCCGCCCCGCGGCGCGGAGGGGAGGGGAGGGGCGGGGCGGGGCGGGCCGGCCCCTCTTACTTGAGCGGGCGCCGCGGCGGCGGYGGTGCCGCGCGCGCCCATCCGTGCCCGCTCTCGTGTCCCTTTCCTCAGCCCTGTCCCTCCCRCCATGCCCAACATCGTGCTCTTCAGCGGCAGCTCCCACCAGGACCTGTCGCAGCGCGTGGCCGACCGCCTGGGGCTGGAGCTGGGCAAAGTGGTCACCAAGAAGTTCAGCAACCAGGAGACCAGGTGCGCGGGACCGCCCCCGCCGCGCGCTCCTCGAGCCGCACGCGCATCAGCGTTGGGCGCGGGCGGGAGCCCTGACGCYCGGCGTTGGGCGCGGGGGAACGGCGGGAGGCGCCCCAGATTTGGGTATTTTCCCCCGTTATTTAAAATACAGTGACAAGCGCGTGCTCGTGCTGCTGCTTTTCGGTGCGGGTGTGTAAGGCTATCACCTGGTCCTGAAAACCAGGTTCCTGACAGCAAATTGCTCGCCCATCCCCGAGATCCYTGTGTGTTTGGATTGCTTATTCTTGCAGCTCTTGCTCTGACTCTCCCCAACAAGCATGTTGTCACAGCTTCCCTGAAAGGTTAATATGCTGTGCTCGAAAGCTGCCCTTGGAAAGCCTTGCCTCCTGTTCAGCCCACCTCTTCGTGTTCTTAATTTAACTGCTCTCGTTCTSGTTATCCTTACTGATGTCCCCATGAGCCCTTTTCCTTAGTGTTTGTACTGTCAAATGTTTGCACGCCGTTGCTCTCTTCTATTCATTCCTGATTAACTGAGGGTTTAAATCTCCCCTCAAGCCTTTCCAGCCGCATAATCATTTTATTACTCCTTGATCTTTTTTGCTGCATGATAAAATTTAATTTGCATCCTTGGTTGCATGATTGTCTTGCAAACTTGCGGATTTTTTGTTTGTTTTCAGGATCCATGATTTTTAACACTTCTGCTTGCTGTGTTAAACAGAACTTCTTTGATTTAGATTTCCTCCAAAGCAGAGGCTTATTTCCAGAAGTGTGTATATTTATTTTAAGATGTGAATTATTTAAATTCTAGGCTTCAGCATAGAATATGCTCTTCTGTCATTCCACCTATTTAAAAAAATGTATATTTTTGTTGTGAAAAATAAGCCTCTTCCATTAAATAAGYAGCTGGTAGTGACTGCAGAAAATCAGTCAGTGGTTTGGCCAGCCTGGAGGTGGCAGTTCACTTTCTTAGGCGAGCAGGGGTGTAATGTGGCATAGATATCATGAGGGGAGCAGTCATCTRAAAACTGTTTCTGCTTCTGTTGCAACACTGCCAGGCTGACATGTGTCTTTTCCTCCTCTCCCCTAACTTAAAATACCTTAGCACTTAAAACCTTAACTGTTTTTTTTCTTCTGTGCAACTTTATTTCAGAATCTCAAAATGCATGCATTTCTCCTTACTTCACCTCAGCAAAAAAGCTTTTTTTCGCTTTATCTAAATATTAAGCGGATATTCTTTTTAATATTCTCAGCAACTTATTTGTGGATAGTGCCCCACAAAACTTTGTAGACTTTTTTCCCCTTAATAGAAAATTCAATACTAATAGAAAATTCAATATTAATGGGAGATTTCCTACAATTTGAAATTAAAGTATACCAGAATTCAATGTGATATTTAAGATGCAGTGGTCATTTTTGAGACATCTGGATCTTTTGTCTGCAAAGTAGGGAAGTTTCCTCATTATATAAGCTTTTTTTTGTTTGTAAAGATAATCCAGTACAGTGGTGTTTTTTGGGTTTTTGTTTGTTTTTTTCATTTACGAAGTTCATAAGTAAGGGTTTTGGTATCATGAAACATTTTAAGTATTGCAGAAAGCTAGAATTCAATAGTTAAAATAGTCGAAGAACCTTAAACCTTARCCTTCCTAGTGTCACTCTGGCAAAAACCCTGTACAAATAGATAAGCCTGGGTCTGAGGGTCAACAAACTCTTTCTTTGTCATATCTGTTAAGTTAGCAAGTTACAGAGAAGATTCACCTTTTGTTTAAAAACTGTTTTGCTCTTTGCTTCTTTCTCTTGAACATAATTATATTTATGTGTAAATTGATAAATATGTACATCCCTAGGCTTAAATATTTTTTCAGAGAAGTCCTAACAGGAAGTCACCACTTAGCTGAGAGTAGCAGTTGATCTTGTTTGCAGAATAGAATGGCAAAGATTCATTAAATATTTTGTATTCTATTGCAACTGAAATGGCCTTTAGGCTTCATTCACAATTCTCAGCAGGTCTAAGTGTTCTTGAAGGATTAGAATTATTCCTTTAAGTTTAGCTAGGGATAGGAACAATCCTGACAAGAAATGAGGTTAAATGGGCTGGTATGTGGAAAACTCCTGGAAAAAGAGTTGGAAATCCTTCTTATTTTAATTGATACTAGCAGTCAGTATCTCATATCTGGCAATATCACAGTTCTCTTGCTTGTAGGTATTCAGTGCCTACAAGTAGGCTTATAACTGAGAAATAACTATGTCTATGCTTGCATGAAATGTGGTGAGATTGCTGTTAGACTTGATCTACCTCACTCACCATTTTTTTTTTTTTTTTCTGGAAAGAATATGGAAGAATAGTTCCTTCGTCTGACTATTAGAGTCAACCTTCCCTTACCAAAGCAATGAGAGCCCCTAAATGTCTGGTTGTAGAAGGTAACTGTTTACTAACTGCCTAGTATTCTAAATAGTGCATCAACTGAGTGTGCATGCTCACCGCAGTGTTCCCAGTAAGGGGTTTGGGCTGCAGCACCTTCTCACTTACCCATTGAAACTGAGAGTGTTGTCTCAGGGGATCGTGGCGCTGCCTCTTTGCATCTACCCAAGCAATGGACAGCTCAGTTTGGCAGGGAGGAATGGAAGACCATAAGCTGGTATAACCTGTTGCWGCCTTAGTGTTGGAAAACTAAAACATGCAGATGGAAAACAGAAGTGTGTATGTGTGTATATATATATGCGCATATCTCTCTATATAATTTTTATATATATTTTTATATATGTCTCTGTGGATAAAATGAAGTGCTTCCATATGAAGCAATTCACAAAATTGTCTCCAAATACCCTTTTGTGACACAATTTAAGATTTCTTAGGGATAAGTTTGTGGGGAAAAAAAAATGTTTATTACTTAAATATCTCGTATGCTCTCTATTGGCCACTTATTTCTGTACTTGAAATAATTGTTTATATTGGGAGTCCTAGATTTCATCCTCAAACACAGCTCTGTACTGGTGAAAGAGTATCCTCCTATCAGTCTCTCATGGAAGCTCCCTAGTTTTTTTTCTAGTTGGAGTCACTTTTCTGTACCTGCAGCAAGCTGTCAGAACAAATCATTTCCTAAGATTTGGGAGGGGAGGAATTGAAGGTTTGCCTGGAACGTGTGAATGTGGAGGCAGTTGATCTGTAGCCTTATTTAACTGCTGAAGTTGGGGTAGTTCAGAAATGCCAATGTAAGTGTATGTAGTAGAGCTTTTGTAGAGGAAGATGTGCTGGCTGCAAGGACACATTGCCTGCTCTGTGGGAAATGGATATCCCCCACAAACAGCCTGGCTTCMTTTAGGAAGGACTAACACCTGAAAACATATAATTCAGCCTAACACAGTAATGTTTGAACTTAAATTTGGGGAGTTAGTTACATTCACAGAATCACAGAATGTTTAAGGTTGGAAGGGACCTCTAGAGATCTAGTCCAACCTTCCTGCTCAAGCAGGGACACCCTAGAGCATGTGGCACAGGGTGGCATCCAGGCAGGTTTTGAAGACCTCCGGAGAAGGAGACTGCACAACCTCCCTGAGCAGCCTGTTCCACTGCTCTGTCACCCTAACAGTAAAGAAATTTCTCCTCACATGGGGATGGAATTTCCTGTGTTTCAGCTTCCACACATTGCCCCTTGTTCTCTCACTGGCCACCACTGAGAAGAGCTTGGCCCCTTCTTCCCTACATTGTCCCTTCATGAACTTACACATGTTATTCAGATCCCCTCTCAGCCTTCTCTTCTCCAGGCTAAACAGGCCCAACTCAGTCTGTCCTCGTACAAGAGATGCTCTAGTCCCTTAATCATCTTTGTTGCTCTCCGTTGRACCCTCTCTAGAAGCTCCATGTCCCTCTTATACTGAGGAGCCCAGAACTGCACTGAGTATTCCAGGTGTGGCCTCACCAGAGCCGAGGAGAGGGCCAGGATCCCCTTCCGTGACCTGCTGGCAACACTAATTCCTAATGTTATCATTCCTAATGGCAACATTAATTCCTATGTTTTTCTATTTCATAGAAAATAGGGTAAATAAAAAAGGTTTTTCTAAAAAATAATGGGGGGGAGGGGGAAATCAAACTTAAAAACTCCGTCAGCCTGATGTAGTAGGGATTCGTAAGTCAAAGGAGGAAGTTTTTCATCATTGGGCCATAACATCTTCCCCACATCTCCCCTACAGTGCCTCCAGCTCCATGCTTCTACTGCAGCTGCTGTGTCTCTAAGACAAGACTTTGCTCTTTTTCATCTGCCCCTTCCCTGGGGCTTCGGGCTGCCTACTCTGACTGAAGCCTTTGTGCTGCTTGCAAGCCTAGCCCTGGAGAAAGCAAGCTCAAGTGGTCAGCTGATGGGCACACAGGACGCTCTGGGCCATGAGGACTCTTTGTGTTGCCCAGATGATTCGCATCTGCGGTTGTCCCACTCTGCTGGGGGCAGCACAATTGCCTCGCTCCCTGCCCTTATGCTACCATGAGCAGAGTGAGGTTGGAGAAACAGATTTTACCAATATGGTCGTGTAGGGCACTTTTTTTTTTGGATTGCTTATGCTGTGTTTTTTTTTAAATGATGTGATTTCTATCTATGACAAATACATTTTTTTATCATATTATTAATGGATCTGAATTCTGAGTCCCAAAATTACTTCAGTGCTTTTGTTTTGATTTGCACTTTATTGATACTACTGTATACTTCTTAAAGTACATGCCAAGCACTTGAAATATGTCAATAAAGCTGACCCATGAGAGTAATTCCTGATGAACCTGTATGTACTTAGATGTAGGGTTTAGTGCTAAGCCTTTGAGGAAACCCTGCACACACACAGACTTGTTAGACTTTTTCGCAGTTTCTGAGGGTTCCTTCTCCATTGGATGCGTTCTGGACGGAGATGCTGAAGTGGTGGTGTTTTCCTGCTACAGCAGCAGGCTCTGTGCCTAAATTGAGAGTAAGATTATTTCCTGGGCTCATGGCACTTGCTTTGTTGGTGCCTGGTGTTAG